TCATATCCCGTCATGCCCTGGGGTCTTTATCACCTGCTTCGTGTTCGTATCTCATATCCCGTCACGCCCTGGGGTCTTTATCACCTGCTTCGTGTTCGTATCATTTCCCGTCATGCCGCGGGGTCTTTATCACCTGCTTCGTGTTCGTATCTCATAAAGTGCAGTTATTTTTATACGGTGAGTCAATTTTTTCTATTATTGACTAATTTCATAACTTCGACTATTATTCTTTTTATTATTATTATTATTATTATTATTCCTGACCTTAATATTGTGGGTGATATAGCTTATTGTGTCATTCAGGTTTCTGTTATAATTAGCCTATTATGCCTTACAGCTTGTAAACGTATATATCTTTTAAATCAAAATCTGTAATATTACTGGCATTAATAAGTTTATCTTGAATCTTGAATGAGTCTAATCTTAAAGTATGCTTGCCGGAATATTGTTTTGAATGATACATGATAATATATCCCCCCATTTCTTGTTATCATTTTCACAAGTAAATATTATAGTCGTTTCCTAGAAATGTTTAACTATTTTTAGAATATATTGCAGTGAAAAGTTTGTAAAACTGAGTCATCTTCAATTAAGGATTTGAAATGTTCCCCTAATGCTCCGGACGGTCAAAGGCCGCATGACTTTAGAGTTAAATGTTTGCCTAATGTAYACTTTTGCCAGTGATTTCTAACGCGTTAAAAAAATTTACCAACCGTGTATTTTAACAATGAATACAGAGCAATGCTACAATAATCTTTATTTATAAAGAGAAAACAAATACTACCGAGCTTTCGAACTAATCCCAAAGCCACTAAGTTGTGAAAGGCTTGTATGGCACTCTTCTTCAGTCGTTTCATCTAAGGCTCGTAATTTACTTATTACGCATGTTCTTATTTGATATCCGAGCCCATCCCACACGGCGCACTGCCACATCTATCTAGTACTACTTTTTCGTGGGATTGCCAGCTCACTAGATACACTGTGCTGACGAGGCCCAATACAGGGCGAAACAGCTGTCCACAGTTTCTAGTTGAGCTGGCTCATTTTTTACGCGACTTGAAGTTGTGAAAGGCTTGTATGGCACTCTTCTTCAGTCGTTTCATCTAAGGATCGTAATTTACTTATTACGCATGTTCTTATTTGATATCCGAGCCCATCCCACACGGCGCACTGCCACATCTATCTAACCAAAGCCACCAAGAGTGATTTCTGATTCAAAGTTAAAAATTTAAATTTTATCATTAACTCATCGACGCCATTAGTAGTAACAGAAAGTTATTTTAGTTCTTCAGTTCAGTATTCATCGATATTTAGTTAAATGTCTTCAGTAGTGAATTGATTAATTAATTAAGACGGCAGATCTTAAAATATTAATTCTTTCCCATAGTAACTTCTACTGAGTAACTTACCCTAACTCTTCTTAGATTCTGCTGTAGCTACGCTGTATTTCCCAGTTTTTTCCCCACAAAATTGATACAATACTTTGGTATTCTATATATGTTCGACTATTATATATTGACTTGAATTCTCGTGTTTACTGTTTTGGAAAAAAACTTGTGAAATAAAAACAAACACACACCGACACAAAAGGAAAAAATTGAAAATTGTATTATTAGTAGTAAGTTATGATTCATTATATAACATTTTGATCAAAAACCCTAGCTAAGGCAGCATGATCGAAAAAGGATAAAAAATTATCCGCAATCGTAAAACGAAGGCAAGAAAGTTTACCAAACAAAATGATGACATTAATCGGTTTTGAATGCTAACATCGCCGATCGATAATTTTTTTCCAAACCCACCGGGGTGTGTAATTTCATTTTTGTGTTTTTTTAAGTTTATTTCTAACGTCAAAATTAGAAAGTTTTTTAAACAATCGACAGTAGTAATCAACTAATATCAAGATATTTTATTACTTACCAGCCAACGTAGTTTGTGTAGGTCGGTAGCTGGATTTTTGCAGATGCGCCTCGCGATTCGATGATCTATACTAAACTAGGCAGGAGTACAATGCGGTGTTGTTTATCGACAGGGCGTAGGTGGGACTAGCATTCTGATTGAACGATTTTCGTAAATGCGGAGAATTGCACCCGGTGTTCATACAACCAATTTAATAAACAGCTTAAATAAACAGTTGTTTTTAATTTAAAAATAGATATATTTCTTTAAAAGCGTTTAGTCGTTCTTGCATGTTCGCAATAATTGGGGACACCTTTTCCACACACCACGACACTCAATTCACCTCTTGATTTTTATGGAGGGAGAAAAGAAAAAAATCAATTTGTCGACTTTGAATTCAATTTTTTACCTTCAGTTAAAAGCTTAAAATTGGCATTTAAAGAATACTATTTAGTTACTAATTGCAGTAAGAATCGAAATAATTACTTTAATTTGAACCTCACTTTTGCCTAGTCTTGAACTGATAAAAACAAAAAGGTTTCCGCGGCAACGTTGTTAGTTTTATACTTTTAGGGTGCTGACTTGTGTTTTAATTTTTAGATATACAATGAGTCCTTTAATAAAAACGTTGTACCCACATTTTGAGCTTGAAATCTAAACATCCAACATTAGAACATGTTTTTTGGAAAGAATTCATTTGGCAGTGAGCCACCACTCGTTGGACAAAATTCGAATAACTCTCGGTGACTTCAAAGTCATAGCCCCCACTCTGAGTCGGTTGCCTGTTGTTCTCTCACAGGCCGTGATGTAACTCTTTCGCTTTTGTTCAAGTAGGCACACGTTCCCGGGTGCCAATTTGAACAAGACTGGTTGTTATGCTGCGAGCCGTCAGACGAGCAGCTCCGACAATAATCTTGGGTTTCCTGTGTCCCGGAAGCCAACAAAAATCTCGATATTGAAAGTTCTTCCATTTGGCCTTCTTCAGGGGCAAGTACTTTTTTTCAAGTGCCTGCCTCATGGTGGTGTTTGGTCCGCGCGCGTGATCTATTTCACTTAACTTGTTGGGCCCCCCGCAACTTCAACTTCAGGGGCAAATAGTCTTTCCTCGTGCTCGTAGTTCATAGTTCATATATTATTTATCTCACAAACGATTTAGGGATATCCTAAGGGGAAAGCAAAGCTATTTTATTAGCCTTATCGATGCTTTGGTGGACAGTGATTATTGCGCTGCAACAAGAACCTCGATTTTGAAACTTCTTTCATTTGGCCCCCCGCGACTGCAATTTCAGGGACAAACTTTAGTCTATTTGGTGCATTGTTTTCACAGCTATTGTTTTGCTGATTCACCTGGAAACGCAGTCTAGTGGAACGCGGTTGTCGTTCAAGATATGATACTGAGTCAAGTTCGTTTGAGGAGGGTTAGCACCTGCATGATTGACCTAAACATTATGTGCACTCACGCTTTTGCTTCTTCTTCTTCTTTTCTTTTCTTTTCTTTTGATTTTTTTAATGATAGAATATAGAACAGTGAAACTTTTCTATTGTTGAGTTACCTATTCTGTCTACCCAAATCTGTCCCAAATTAATTTCATATAGTAGTATCTAAACGAAAACACTAAATGGTCGGCAGTTTTATTTTCAAAATTCCAGCCCAGTCCATACGATAACAGAAACCAAATTTATATATATATATATTTTACTTGCCTTTCGTAACGAACATTTGTCAACTTTTTTTTGTGAATTCAGGAGGATGATCATTCATAATGTACTCTGTAATTTACGATAAACGAATAACTTAGGCCCCGTCCACACGTATCCGGAAATTTTTTTATCCGCAAATTATTTTTTGCGGATACGAAAATGTTTGCGTCCACACGCAGCGTATTCGAATCGTTTTCACCGTCCACACGTATCCGTTTTCGTAAAATTTGCGGATACGGACACAAAAATTTGCGGGCACGTGTGGACGCAACCCGTATCCGTAAAAAAAAAATTTCGGATACAAAAATTTTCGGATACGTGTGGACGGGGCCTCAAACAACGACACGAGAAAACATGCATGAAAACGAACAATAAAATTCCCGCGAATTTTTTAAATTTTCAAATGAAAAGGCCGAGGACTACGTAGCACTGAATTTGCTATTGGGGGAGGGGAGGGGGAACATACAACACTGCTGGCCAGCCTTTCGCGGGAACACAAAACGCTGTGACACTGGCTTAAAACAGTGTAGAGTCCCGTCTAGTCGTAACGTAACTTTTTTTCTAAAAATTCCGGCAGATTTAATACTGTTGCCATTTAAAATTAATTCGATTTTTTGTTAATGTTTTGAGCCTGCAGTACCCTTACCCTAACCCAGCGGCAGTTCCGGTATGACGTCACGTATGCTCAAAATGGCGGGTTGTTGCGAGGGACGCGAGTCATGAGTCAAGAAGTAGATCAAGAATAACACCAAGTTATTGACTTTACACTGAAAAATAAATCCCTAGAGACGAAACAGAGAATGTTATGACATCTTAGGACCTTGTAGGATCATCTACAAGTAGACAAGACGGGATTCTAAAGGTAAAGTTTATCGGGATGCTCCAAAACAAAAGGTTTTTTTGACCGTTATGATAACAACAACTGCACATGTTTAGTGTATTCACTCTTGAACAACACTACTTTGTTTATTGGAATCCTAATAACAATGAGTATTCTCTGGTACTACTAGTTGTGATAATTATAGCAGGGGGAAATTTTGTGGAGCATTAAAACCATATGATAAGCTTAATTATAAAGCAGCTGTTAATTTTTTTGCCTGAGGTGTTGAATTTTAATTTTATTTTTTTTGTTCTCACCTTCACTTTGATCATAAATTAAACTCGTCACTTTTATATTCTTTTACTCTATTCTTATCACACACAGATAATTCTTAGAATAAAAAAATATAGTAAATGTCAATTTGATATTTATTTGACAGAGCATTTGAACAAAATCGTACATAAGCTTATATTTGATGTAATTTAATTTTCTCCTATAGAATATATAACTCAGTTTATCTTTAATGTTTACCACATCTGCAAAAAATGATTTTTAAAGAGACTGTCTTTAAGAAATATTCAAAATATTCCACTCATCAAAGTGGAATTCTCATCAAAAGTTGACATTTAATTCTGATTAATCATTGCTAGTTTTCACTCTTGTCATTTTTATACCTGTATTTTCGTATTAATAGCCCTAGGATAGCAATTATGAATATTTGTTTTTAGGGTAAAGTTTGACAGAATTCATCATGGCGGAGGACTATAATGCTGAGATGTTGGAGAAGGTTGAAAGGATGAGTAACCTGGAGTCTGTTGTCGCTGAGCAAAGAATGAGAATAGAAAAACTGAAGACGACTTATGAAACACTTAAGATAGAACATCTACAGCTACAGGATGTATGTACCATCTTAAATGCACCTTTTATGACAAAGAAATCATAATAATAAATGCTATATTCCTTAGTATTTCTTTCTTTACACTACTACTCCAGAATCCTCTGAAAGATTTGAAACTTTACTGAATTCTGAAACAAAATCTTGGCTGATCTTCAAAGGCTTTGCCCCATCACATCATTGCAGCCATGACAGGAGGCACAATAATAGTTTTTTCCCCTGGAAAACTGAATTCTTATGAATGTTAATCAGATTAGACCAGATTCAATTGTTCCTGCCTAATAGTTTTCATGACTGACATGGTGCAAAGCTTCTATAGGTCAGGGTAAGGCTAACTGACATTGAAGTTTCGTATCGCAGTTTATTAGGGGAAGCAAAACTGGAGAAGCTAGAGAAAACTGACAGTGTCTAGGGGACTAACTTAACATTTTGTATATTTCTGTTGAGTTTTTTAATATATGGTATGGTATCATTTTGAAATGTTTTTCTAGGCTTGTCAGAGAAAGGATAGTGACATCATAGGTGCCAGAGAAGAAGCCAAGAAGGTCCAAGAAGAATGCCAAGATATAATAAAAAGGCTGAGGTCAGAAAGAGACTCCAAGATACAAGAATGCGAAGAACTTCGAACCCAGGTTGTCACACCAAGCAAGCTGGAAATGATGAGGATAAAATTGTTGGAAGAAATTGAGGAACCTTACAGAGAGGTAAAAGCAGTAAATTTAACCAGACTTATTGTCATGGACGTTTATCATATGGCACCGTGTACACACATGAGGATAAAAAACCTTTATTTAACCATGCGTAATCTGGCTTATCCCAAAGCGCTCGAATTCGAGGCTAATAGCAGGGGAAATCTATTGTTCTAATGTGCAGGCTGCCACGACATGATTAATGAGCATCCATTCATTTAACCATTTGACTACTAAAGGCCAACCTCATTATTCTGCCTGTGTTCCTAGAGCTATTCCGAAAGTTGACCACGAATTGTGCTCACAATCATTTATGTGAAGTTTCTGGATTTTGATTGAATAATCTCTCAAGTATGACAACTGAACAATGGCTTACAGTAGGGTATTTTCTTAGGTGGACACAGGCTGATGAAAAATAAGGATAATTTTTGGCCCATTTTGGCCAGCTCATGATCAGGAAAATCAGCAGATTTTGTAATGGCCTGATTTGGCCTTTTTAGTAGTCAAAGGGTTAAGTATTATTATATATTTTCTGAAAATAGAAGTGAAATTTCCTTTATGTAGATTTAATTGTCATATTCCCAAGAGATTTGAATATGAATTTATGAATTTTTGAATTTATCTAATTCTTTAATCACTCTGTTTTTTTTCAGAGATTTCAATTAATGGAGGCTGAAATCAACAACTATAGAAGGTATAGGCATAAAAAAGAGAGTTTTTACTAATATTCTTCTTCTGTTTTTATTACTATTTTCAAAATACCTGATAATAGCAAGGGCACTAGGACAGACAGATTGGGTTATATATCGGTGTGTTAGTTTGTTTGTTGAGCGTACAGCTCATTCAAACCAGAAAGACCGTTGGTTGGAAAGGGCATTTACTCTTAAGATAAGTTAGCCCTAATTAGTATCAATTTAGTATCTATGAATAAGTGAAACAAATACACTAATAAATAACCCAATCCGTTTGCCCTAGCACCCTTAACAATAGCTCAATATAGTGTACAGTGGTGATATAACAATATTGTTCTAATTTTTACATATTAATTTATATTATTCTGACAGTGATTTTAACAAGTTGAGATATGATTACTCTTTCTTGAAGTCAGAATATGAACATGAACAGGTAATATGTATCTTAGCGAGTAGTGCTTTGTACTTGGTTTTCAGGCATCAAAGAAGTTGGAATGTTTAAACATAATCTATGATGGATAGAAGACTATTGTCATCTTAGGCCCCGCCCACACTATGCCCAATAAATTTGAATCCGAATTTTTATTTATTCTGTTAGGCCTACCATCCACACTAGTCCAGGGGAATCCGGAACAATTCTACACTGAAAACGATTTTTTTCGAATACGGTCTCCAGAGTGGAACAATTTGAAAACGCCAGCTAGCCGTATTAGTGTGGACGGAGAACATTTCGTATACGAAATACAATGACGACATGATTGTCATGGGAACATGGCGGGAAGGCTAAAAATTCACCGCAGGCTCAATTTCAGCTTCGATGCACATGTTCAGATGTGCAATGAAGCGGTTTTGCTGCCTCTGATTGAACTAGTGTGGACGCGAAACATTTCATCCGTTTTCATGTTTTCAGTTTCAGTGTGAAAGGTGCTGATTCAAATTTATCCGGCATAGTGTGGACGGGGCCTTAGAAGTCTAGACTTGTGTCTGGGGAGAATGCATAGCAATGAATTTGGTGGTAAAGTGACATTATAGTAGATTTTGATAATGATAAATGCTCATATGTCCTCTTTCCTCCGATGAATAGACACAACACAAGCAGATAGTTGAGGAGCTGCAAGCACAGTATGAGATAGATGTTACTAGTCTGAGGAAAGAAAGAGATGCGTTATTACAGAAACAGCAACAGGAGGTTCCTTCTGATGCACAGAGAGCAAGAAATCTGCAGAGGGAAAATACGCAGGTACTGTGTTGCATTACAATTAATATCATCATCATCATCATGCTCATCATCATCGTCAACATCACCATCAAAATGGTCATCATCATCAACATCATGATCATCATCTTCATCATGGTCATCATAGTCATCATCTTCATCATCCACAACACCACCACCTCCACCACTATCATCATGGTCAGTCGTCATAATCATTCTCAACACCATCATCATCATCATCACCCCATCCTCATCATCATCATCAATATAGTCAAAATTTTTCACCATAATCATCTTCAACATCATCATCATTATCAATACCATCATCATCAACACCATCTTCATCATCAACACCATCATCATCATCAACACCATCTTCATCATCAACACCATCATCATCATCAACACCATCATCATCAACACCATTTTCATCATCATCATGATGATAGTCAAAATTTTTCACAATAATCATCTTCAATACCATCATCTTCATCTTCATCATCAGCAACAGCTCATCATCACCAGCAACAGCAGTCTAGTACCATATTTTGACGTCAACAATGCCACTATTCATCATCATCACATTTATACCTCTAAAGGAATTCTTTTGTCATTGTAGTTGCATATGAAGCTAAAGAACTTGTTGGCTGAATTAGAAGAAATTAGATCTCAAAGAGAAAATGCAGGCTTACAATCTGATCATGTAAGTGTTATCTTTCTAATTACCATGTACAGTATATCCTTCATATTATCATCATCATCATTCTCTTGCAGATCTTATTATTTACCTTAAGTATTTTGTATGTCAAATGTTTAAAAGATCATCTCTTGATGTTTCATTCTGTAGGTCTCCAGACTTCAAGCAAGACAGGTGTCTGAGCTAACAGCCAAATGTAAGTCTTTAGAAACAGAAAGAGATTCACTGCAACAACAGTGCAAGACCCTGCAGACAGAACTAGAAAAGAAACATCAAGAACAGGTGCAGTATTGATAGAACTCTCCTAATGTTTGCAGGACTTTAAAAAAATGGATGCTAACTGGACAATTTCCCATCAGAATATGCAGCTTGTCTGGTCAAATATTTGCCTTGCCAGTCATTTTCATCGGTAACATTGAGCCAGAAACGAGAATACTACCGATCTCACCAAACTGTGACGACACGCCAAAAATTTGTCTTGCCACCACATCCTAATTCGTCTACTGTCATGCCTACTTTTGTTACATGTATTACAGTGAATACCTTACTGGCAATGTGCTAGATACAAGACAGTGACAAAAGTAGGCATGTCAGTAGACAACTTTGGGCGTGGTAGCGAGACAGTTCGGTGAGATCCGTAGTAAAGACTGATTTGGCCAGTCATCATGACTGATGACTAATCAGCATTTATTTTAAGCTCTTTGTTCATAGATTAATACAGTCATGACAGAGAATTTTCTTAAATATATGATCATCTTGTGGATATATTTGTAGGATCAATTAACAGAAGAAATTCATCAACTTGAAAAGGAAAATATGTCAATCAAAAGGTAATATTGTTAATATTACAGCTGTACTAGTTTATCTAGCAATTTTAGAAATGTGTAATCTTGAAATAAAGTGGCTAACTACATGCATCTATGATCTGTCTATCTGAGACCTATGCCAGTCATTAGTTTGATGTCAATAGAGGCTTTGCATCATTACCTGATGGCAGCCATGACAGAAGGCAGGAACAATGGAATCTGGTCTCATCTGATTTACATAAGAAAGAACTCAGTTTCCCAGGGGAAAAGACTATTGTTGTGCCTTGTGTCATGGCTGCCATCACCTGATGGTGCAAAGCCTCTATATTAATGATTCAAATTTGTTGTTGTTGTTTATTTATCACTCATCCAAGAAAATATCGCGCCCGTGTTCACGGAGAGTTGCATGGGAGGGTACATCTTAAGAGGGTATTCTTTAAAAAATTTCTATTCTCTACATGTTATAAACCTTCATCTTAAGAGGGTATTCTTTATAAAATTTTCTATGCTGTACATGTTATACATCTTCCAAGGTACTGAGTAACATAATTTTACTTTATCTGCAGCAAACTGGAAGAAGCATCTCACAAACATAAAGTTGAAATTAGTAATTTAAGGATGAGGTAACTAATAAGATTGTAGCCTGTATGGCGACTCTAGAGGAATGGGGATAGGGGAAAAGGGAAGGGGGAGAGGGAGGGGGGAGGGGAGAAAGGCAAATAAAATTACTGAAGTCTCTGGGAATATTGGGGAAATCATGTTACCGGCACAGTTATGCATGTATTAACTCTGTCTTCTCACACTGTAGTCTGACCAAAAATAAAGGAGATCTGGAAAGAGAACGAGATGAACTCCAAGCTCAGATTGATAATTGTAACCATAAAATAGAAGTACTTAAAAGAACTATTGATCACCTAAAGAATTCCCTGGATGAAAAGGTATGTTCAACTGCATCCAATCCCATTTAGGGCTAAAAATAATGGCTGCTCATTGGACAATGACTGGCCAGAATTAGAACTTGTCAAATCTTTGCCTTGCCGATCATTTTAAGTAACAAACAAGGTATGAATGAGCTAAAACTAATTTGGCCAGTGTTCATGACTGGCGATATTCCAGTCCCAGAACATTTTTGAGCCCCCTACGTTGAATATCTGGTTGCGACCAGCTGTTCAGTGAAGCGGGGTAAAAAAACGATCTGTTACTGGGCTAGACTGAGGAGTGACCGGCCATTATATTAAGTCCTGCCATCGTATCAACTTGTTTATGGATGATATTCTAGCTTTACCTAGTTCTTTTTTACTATTTAATTACTTCGCTATATATTCAATTTATTATTTTCTTTGTTGAAGATGTAGAGCTACTCTGTAGATATGTTTCAATAAATCGTTTTTATTATCATTATCATCATCATCATCATCATTATTATTATTATTATTATTATTATTACAAATAGCTATATTTAGCCCTTGATATGTCAACTTGTACATCGGATCGTGAGAACAAATACTGATAGCACCGTGGCTGAGGTTAAACCTGATTTTCCTTTCTCTCGTAGGAAAAAGAAGTTAGCAAACGAGTACAGGAAGTGAAAGAAAAAGAATGGGAAAAAATTGCACAATTAGAACAGTCCAAATTACAGGTACTGTATTTCACAAGGAGGAACATGAAACACTGTTTACCGCACTGTTTACCGCAGTACTTTATAGATAAAGTTGTGTAAAAATACTTCTTCCATCTGGTAACACTGTGTACATTTGTCTGTATTTTGCAGCTGGAAACAAGCCTAGCACAAATGGAAAGGTATACTGTACTTCCAAAATCATTTCAATTGTCTCTTTCTTTCCTTTTTAATATGCCAAGTGCTATAAAGAGTAGATTTGTTATAAAGAATACGATTTTTTTACAGGGCTAGTAGAATTTAGAGTTGCAGTTGTACAAGCATGTTATGGGAAAAACTGTTTTTTGTCTGTTTTTTTCCCAGAGCAAAATTAGATTTAGACGCAGCTTGTCAAGATAAAATGGAAGCAATGGAAGAAAAAGCACGCTTAGCCACTGATAACAAGGTTAGTACGATGTGGAGTGACATGACTTTTGTTGTAATGAAAGCAACATCAAGACACGGCACGGTATTGGCTATGACCATCATACATCAAGGTAACCATCATCGGCATTTTGCATAAGCAATGAAGAAACGTGCGCGCGTGTTGTGTGCAGTTATAAAGCACGCGGGGTTTGGCAGAAACGAGAGAAGTGTTAGGATAAGTACGACAAGTAGCGGAGTGCTTCTCGACACTTCTCGAGTGTTCTGCCAATCCCCAAGTGTTTTGTAACTGCACACAGCACAGCAAGCAAGTTTTTTATAAAACATAAATTACAATAACCACTATTTAGATAGGAATGACGCAACTGAGAGTGCGCGCGCGTGCTGTGTGCTCCCAACCAATCAGGACACGAGATTTATAACAGTTATTTTTAACCATCTTTCGTCAAGATAACCATCGTCGGCATTTTGCATAAGAAATATCCTTTATCCTTTGTCCATTGTCCTGTATATCAATGATTTGAAATAATGAACAGAATTTCTCTGTCATTGCAGATTCAAATGGAAAAAGAATGTAGTGTTCTGAAATCACAAATTAAAGAGAACGAGAATCTTGCTAACGAGCTAGAAAGGGTAAGCAGACTCCTTGGTTTTAACAGGAGAGCGATCTTTAACCTCAGTAACGTATGCTATGGTGTTTGTTCTTAAAGGAGAAGGCATCATACCAAGAATTAAAACAAAAACACCAGCAACTACAGAACCATTATCAAAGGTAGAATATACTGACGATTTGTTCCTTTATTAGAATCACAAGAGTGAAGTAATGATTTATTGATTTATAAAGAATTAGAAAACGCGCGCGCGCGTGCTGTGTGCAGTTATAAAGCACGCAGGGTTTGGCAGAACACGAGAGAAGTGTTAGAACATGCACGACGCGTAGTGGAGTGCTTCTCGACACTTCTCTAGTGTTCTGCCAATCCCCAAGTGCTTTATAACTCTACACAGCACAGCAAACATTTTTTTTCTTTTATGAAATAGAAATTGTTTCTTTTTTCCTTCAGCGTAACGAGTAGTGAACAGCAATTAATGTCGTCCAACGATCGACTAAAAAACTCCGTAGAATTACTTAATAACGAACTAGGTAAGTGAAGACAAAAGTGTACTTGGCCAGAATACTGTCTGTGTTTGGTTCCTTGACGTGGCACCTCTTAAGTTTGTTGGGGCTTTCCCTTCTTTCAAGCGTTTTTCTCTTAGCATGGAAGGAAAAGGGATGAGGGGGGGTTGCTACGCAGGCTAGGGGGTGATCTCCTTTCTCCCTCCCCCCTTCCCCTTTCTCTCTTCCCCAAACCCCTAGAGCCGCCACGCAGACTATTTTCCTCTGGGTTCTCCGGGTTCATTCCATGGGTCTGTGAGTTAGCCTTACCTTGACTTAGATCAGCCCAGAGGCTTTCGATAAAATCGAGGCTTTTTTAATGAAAGAATTAAAGTTAGATTACACCATTTTCTCATACCTGAAAAACAATCTTGTCAGTTCCGGAAGACACAGCCACGTCGACGCAAGATGCCCCCTTATTAATAGAGAGATTCCACTGTATACGCTGAAACACTTAAGATATGCGCAATAGTTTGGCTATCAATTGATGTGTTGTTCTTGTGTTCATAGGGGTTGCAAGAGCAGACCTTCAAAGACTACATGATGACCATATTAATGCTCTTGAACATGCAAGGTAAGACGGTATATGGCCGGTATACATATAGCGATTGCAATATATGACTAACGTAGGACTGAAATGATGGAAAAGATTCATAGCACTATGCGTATGCGTTTGTTGCTATGTCTTCAGACAAGAGAATACTCCTTTTTACAGTTATATGTTCAGTGACCACGAATAATAGAGTTGCTGCGCGTGATAAACTATAGTTTTGCTACGCGCAGAAACTTCTACTTCTAAGAGTATTGAATGATTAAGACAATATAGGTTACTATTAATCATTCATTCTTGCACTGAAGATGTCCCACAGGACAAGACTGTTGAATGATTAAATAATGTAAATATCAAGATATAACTAGCTAAAAACTAGTGTGAGCTGCGTCGGTGTTTCTAATGAAACAGTAATGATGAAAAGGTAAATTATACACCGTGAAAAGATGAAAAAACTTACTGACGTTTCGGACGCTAGTCCGAACTACTCCGACGAAGGACTAGCGTCCGAAACGTCAGTAAGTTTTTTCATCTTTTCACGGTGTATAATTTACCTTTTCATTATTAATGTAAATATCAAATAAGTAAAGTATAGAATAAACGAAAAAGACTGTGTATGAAATATAGATCTTATTAAAATCATTCATTGTTGCACTGAAGATGACAGAAGACTACACGACAACATGTCTACCAAACTATGAAACTCAGTTGTTGTGTAATTCAGTTTTCGAATTATCATTTTTACAGACAACAGGCCGAGGATGAAAAGACAGCCCTGGAAAAACATATCTCAGAAATTGAAAATAAACATAAAGAAGCCGAAGAAAAATCACGCAAAGGGAATAAAATCTTAGATAAGGTGGGATGATTTTGAATTTTGAAAGAAATGTTTCACTCAGAGTATATAGTTGTTCAAAACCTTATCGGTGCTGATATTGTCACCAAGACGACTGGGCGGTGTAGTGCCCCTGTTCATAGACCAAATTCAAACCTCGAACCGATGTGAGGCTTAAGTTGTGAACAAAGGGATCTGGCATGATTCGTGACTTTTGAATCACGCCAGATTGCTTTAAATCACGCCAGATCCCTTTGTTCACAACTTAAGCCTCACATCGGTGCGAGTTTTGAATTTGGTCTATAGCAGTTCTTCGTTTGCACATGACGTCATAGCCGCCATCTTGGTTGACTATGTAGCAAAATAATTGTCTATGAATTCTTTTATTATATCCGCCAAAATGGCCGCCGTGTCTGTTTTTATTTCATTCCTTCATGAATGATTGAAAAAGAGACGTCTTTTGAACCAATCAAAGCGCGCGAGATCGCTGATTTCTCCAATCAAAATGCTCAAACTCAATACATTCACGGTCTCGACACGTTACGTTCATACACGCAAATTGAAGACATCGTTTGGACCAATAATAGCGCGCGAGATCGCTGATTTCACCAATCAAAATGCTCGAACACGGTAGGTGCACAGCACATCCGTACCGTATAGGTAAATCACATTCATACGAAATCTACTCCAGACTAAGAGATATACTCTTCCTGGTTTTACAGAAACGAAAAAAATACAAACAAGAAATATTCCAACTACAAGACAAGATTCAGTTGCTTGAAAAAAAGGAACAACAATTAATACTGGAAAGAGATTCGGAGAAAAGAAAGAGAGAACTGGAAGCCGAGAAAAATAAACGGCAATTGGAAAAACTCAGCAAGAAACAAAGTAGATTTAGAAATATGCTGAACAATAGCCAGCCGTTTGGAGGACCAGCTCCTATTATAAGTAGTTCTCCTTTACCGTTCAACGTTATGCCGTTTAATGTTACTACTGAACAGGTGGGATTGATTACTAAGTCATATCATCAAAAACGTCTGCGCATGCTCTGAATCCGTATGCAAATTAGTCAAAACATAAGTAAATTTGACTTTCAAACGTGCCTGATAAATTGGACTTCACAAAATGTCAAAACTTAGTGTCCATGCTTGAAACTTAAGGCTAATTCTTTCATATTGTGTTTGTTAATACAGTATCTTGGTCTGACAAAAGTGTACTCGCGAACTTTTTTGTATACTTGGAGAAAACAAACATTTATTTTCTCACTCTTCAAAATTTGTGCTGAAGTGCACGCATGCGCAAACGTTTTTCTCTAGTGTCAGAGTAAACTATATTTCCTGTCCATCCCTTTCTTTCACTTTTCAGTTTCAGCCTTCCCATCCACTTCTCTTATCCTTAATGCCCGTTCCTTAGTCTATTTTTACAAGATACTCGTTATTTTTACATTCACTTTCCGTTTACTTTCTTTTATTTTCAAATATACTACTGCCTTCCTCTTCTATTATTCCCGTTTACTTTTTATTCTTCCCATTCACTTTCCTCTCCACTCACTTTCCATCCAATTTCTTTTATTTTCAAATATACTTGCTTCCTCTCTTGTTTACTTTCTATCCTTTCTATTCACTTTCTGTCATTCCCATTCACTTTTTATCCTTACCATTCACTTTCTATTCCTTCCATTCACTTCCCTTCCTTTTCACTTTCCTTCCCTTTTACCTTTCTTACCAGTATGATTGAAGACTTGTTTCAACAGATCTCAAACCAGGCATAACTACACGAGAAATGGCTGAAGGCCAGTACAGTGCTAACTACACACCGAATTGGAATATGGCGATCAATTTGAATAACTTTTGTTCTGGACTGACTAGCCTCACTTACATGTGAAGACGCCTTTGTGTTTCCACGTGAACACGAGGCTAGTCAGTCCAGAACAATAGTTATTCAAATTAATTGCCATATTTCGATTCAGTGAATTACTTGACAGGACTTCAAAACATTGTTTATAAGGTGGTTATCTTTGTTTATTTGCAGGATCGTCAGCAGAGAGATATAGCGTTGGTTCGCGAACGAGTAGAAGAACTGGAATCAACACAACGAGAGATGAGTAACATACTACAGGATAGCCTACCAGTTACCTCATGATATATTTACTTATCTTCTAATATTCTGATTGACACATTACATGTTTGTTACAATCCTCATCTTGTACAGAGGCTTTGCACCGTCACGTGATGGCAGCCATGACAGGAGGCACAACAATAGTCCTTTCCCCCTGGGAACTTCAATTTCTTCCTGCCTTCTGTCATAGCTGCCATCACATGGTGGTACAAAGCCTCTAAAGAGAGGCGGACCCTTTCAATGACTTTTTCTACTTTCCTTTCGACTTGTCTGGTAATTTTTCCGCGTTCGAAGGCAAGTCTTGCCTAAGTATCTTCTCTATGGCGTTACATCTCTATGGTGTTACATCTCTATGGCGTTTCATCTCTATGGCGTTACATCTCTATGGCGTTACGTCTCTATGGCGTCACGTCTCTATGGCGTTACATCTCTATGGTGTTACATCTCTATGGCGTTACATCTATGGCGTTACATCTCTATGGCGTTACATTTCTGTGGCGTTACATCTCTAGTTGTCACAGAAACACATTTCTCGTAATTACGAACGACATTTTACACAAATGATACAATATATCAACTCAATCGTTTTTACGATACATCCGCATTGACTTTTAATAACAATTTTATATAGATTCTAAATCTTCTTTTATCATTCTAATAATCTTTTTTATAACATTACGTCTTCTAAAGGCGCCCTTCACCATTCAACTTGTTATTCTTTCATTTAATGATAAGCTACTACTCACGATAAAGGTCTATATGCTTTACATTATTAGTCTTTTTACTACTTACTTATAACAGATTTTAAACTCTTTCTAAGCGTGCTATTCATATAGATTATAAGATAATTATTTTTATAAAATAATGACCAATGCGTCTGTTCTTAACAGGGGTAGGGTAAGGTCACATAGGAGTGCTATATACACGATTATTTAACTTAATGAGTATTATAGTGTGAATATGAAAGTGTTTTTATATAAATAGTCATTAAATTGATAAATGTTTTATCTTTAAAGCTGTAGTTTTTCATTTTGACTGATTTATGAAAGGATTCGTCATGTCTGCTGGCATTCGGCCTCTTCGACTCCATGTCGTTTTGCTAATCGTTACAAATGAACATTTGCTTTTCGTCCAGAGAATCTATTCTTTCTATTGTTAATGAAAAAATAGCACCAAACTGGGTTCCACGTAGAAGATGATTGAGTTTGTTTTTTCAAGAACGGAGTGAATTCGAACTGCATCCATACAGTCTATCTTGCGACTGACTTTCGAATTTCTAACTGAGATCATTCCTCGGGCCACCGTAAAGGGTGCTCATGATTACGAGAGCCGCTCCGACAGCACAAGTGCTCGGTCTGGGTACCCTGTTTTGTATATAGGCTATATCCTCTTACAATACTGATAGCCATCCCTATCAACCAAGTACACATGGTTACTAGACCCATTGAGCTCACACAAGTGCTTATATAATTCTTCAGGGTATCCTGTGTTGTATATAGACTATTTCCTCTCACAATACTGATAGCCATCCATATCAACCAGATGCACATGATTACTAGACCCATTTAGCTCACACAAGTGCTCATCGAATTGTTCTGAGTACCCTTTGTCGTATCTCTGGTAATTGTATGATAAGCATCCCAAACCGTATATCAGACATTCCATGGCGCACTCTACTTGGCTTCGTACTTTGACTACAGAAAGTCGATATCCCGACATACCTTTGTGTAGTTGGTTCGCATGACATTGAAATTCAGCGTTACTAAAAACACCGGCTGAAAAAGATTGAGGAAAAAAGTAAATTTTTTTTGCAATAAAAAAGAGAGTTGATTACAGGAAGCGCAAATAACCCTAAAAGTTTGTTTGTTAGAAAAAGGAAGTTTCATATGGTGTTCAGCCGCGTTCAATATCGTTTCATGTAAGATGAAAAAGAGGTATGGGTACAGCCACGCCCTCCCCGTGCATGCGTGCCCGCCCGGAGTATAGAACCTAGAGAATATATAGGCTTTACCTCTATATGTCTTGCAAACATATCCACACATCCTCTGGCAATCACTAGTATACCACAAGCTATCTGTCATGTTTCTGTACACGCATTGGTTACTATCATTGACAGTGATGTTCCCTTGATGACCCAGTCTAGAGAAACTCCAGACCGAATCATCTGTCCAAACAAATGCCTCTTGTCTCACTGTTAGACCCAGATGGATGCAGGGCGTGGAGCCTGACATCCTGTTCCGTATGAAGTCATCCTCTTCTGCGCTGACGATACTGAGGAGACCAGACGAGTGCACTTGGCATGAAGTGTGGGCGGTGTCCCATGATGTTAATGTGTTGAATGAGAGGTAACAGAACTGCAGATGTGCGATCCATCTAGATCCACAACCGACGTTGCTGGCTGTGATACCTGGAACGAAAAACGGTGCATTCAATCTTACTACTGAAGTATAGAAATTGTTTCTCTTTTTTTTCCTTTTCCAAACTATAGCCATTCATGCTTTTCGATAATACATATTCTTCTTCAATCAAAAACGTCTTCGCTTTTTTATGTTTGTCCCTTGTTCATGTTGATTACAGCACAGTTCTCGACCAATCATAGCGCGCATGGCAAGCTGACTATATACTGATCACTTTATGGATGATATACATCACATTTCTCGACCAATCAAAGAGTGCGTATAGCAAGCTGACTATATAATGATCACTGGATAATACAGCACAGTTCTCGGCCAATCACCGTGCGTAGCAACTATATAATAAATGTATATATTCTAAGTTCTTTCCTATTTCGGTTTTAATTTTGATCATTTTTCCAATACCTGTCTTGTACTCGAAGGCCTTCGTTATTGTATCGTTACTAACTACATGAGACCACAAGACCAATTCATCTATTGCTATATCAGCATGTTTGTTTCTTCCTACATGCATGGACCAGCTGGGTGCAGGGCTTGTTTCGTTAAGTGGTACAGCAGAGGTGTTGCTCACAACTCTGAGGAAAAAGCAAAAGAAAGAAAATTGTTATGACATCGCGGTTCTTACGACTTACTTGGGCGCTGCTATTCAATATTACCAATCCTCAAAGACCTTAAATGCAGCTAGAATTAGCCATTCCGAGAGAAAAAAAATTGATACAGTTGGCATTGCCGTGCAATGTGGGACTGTTCAGGGGACAATTCCAAGATGGCGTCTATTTTGTCCCCTAAAACAACCCCACAATGCCCTGCGATGCCAGCAGACGAATTCCAGGTAATACCCACGTGATGCATGCCACGCCCATCATACACCCCTCCCGTACCTTTATACACATGGTAGACTAGATCTCACCTTGTGGCATTAAGATACAAACTGAGCCCAGCAGACGAATTCCAGGTAATACCCACGTGATGCCACGCCCACGGCTCTAACACTTTACCAAGAGAAGACACCATCCATGTCTTATTCATTTTCATACTACTAATATTCGTCTCTAGAATGCCATCTTTGGTTTTTACAACACTAATACCGCGATGCGGTCCTCCAAAGACTAAAAGATCTTGATGCTTGCTGCCTTTGTTTCCTTTGACCCAGAATGCAATACTAAGTCCATTGGAGCAAAAGGCGACGTCGACGAAGCAAGAATTGTGGTGAGAGCCAAGGTTAATCCGGGAATAGCTTTCATACATTCGTATACCAAGGTTAGGTGGTGATGAGGTTACTTCACTTCCTTCAAAAATAAGTAATATACAGACTTAGGATTTAAATTTGAACTGAAGGGGTAGAATTCTAGAACAGAGCAAGCAACGAACAGCATGACAGTATGGCCAAACAAGAATACAATAGATTTTGTAATATCTATACAGCTATTTAAAAAAAGGTTCAATACTGAATACTGCATACTGAATAGTGCATTCCAAGACCAAAAGGAAATTGTGGTCTCGTTAATTTGAAATAAAAATTAAATATATAGCAATTAACTCTCTACATGTAGTTCAAGAAAATATGAACTAAGTAAGTTTATATTCTCTTGTGTAGTTAGTATATTGTTTCAGATGGAATACACTAAAAATAGAATGAATAATCATTATTAATCCTACTTTAGACAATGTCACTATGAACCACAATGCACTTTGGTCTTGGAATGCACTATTCAGTGTGCAGTATTCACTATTCAACTTTTTTTGGAAATAGCTGTACATGGAGTCGTATGGTGAAACTGTGACTTGAAGCCGAAAATTACCCAGAGTTCTAGAAGATCTCTCAAATAGACCTCTTTACCACGTGTCATTCTCTTGAGTATAAGATTCTTTGTTTGAATTGTATCCATATTTATACGTCTTCTCATGCGTATCTATTAAACGAAGATATGATACTCTAGGGAATGACAGGTGGTCTGAAATGGGAAAACATTACGCCCAAGATAAAAATGTTTATAAACCCACTATCTGAGAATTAACTTTGAAGTGAGACTGACCTATCACATGTGCATGCCATTGTTCTACGCCCACTCGTTGTGGAGCATCGTATGAAAATCCGTAGAATATTTGGTTCATGTTCCAGTAATGATCTGCCTCGTTGTACCATGGTACCGCTGACGCTTCTAAGATATCAGCTGAAAACTAACAGAAAAAAGATTGGCAATAATCTAGATGATTCGTCGCTAACAACCGTGGTGGGCACCACATGGATGTGCCAGACGTCTAATGTTCTTTATATTCCCTCTGTGTTTAGGATTAAAATCAAAAGGAATCGAAAACTTCCTGGAATCGCGCAGCGGTGGATGCAGTGGGCAATATTCACTTTCTGTAGAATTCATGTGTTTTAATATTGTAAATCAAGAGTATTTCGCAGCGGTATTTCACGACTTCCCTAAAGGTCTACACTTGACTGCATATTCTCTGGGTGCATGTGACTCGTAGCCGCCATCTTAGTTGACGATAACAAAGCATTCCTCATTAGCTTCTCTTGTTAGATCAATCAACATGACGGCTGTTTTATCGTTATTCATATCTCATGAACCATGTGGTTGCACTCCAAGAATTCGTTCCTTCAAGGATTTTACAATATTAGTCTAGCGAAAATGCAGATGACAGACCCTTAGATACGCTATAGGGGGCTTTGAAAAACTGTATGAAACCTATTGACGAGATCGGTATAATCGTGCATCTGACTACGTATGTTTAGTCTTTTCAGAACAAAGAACAAACAATCTCGAATTTTCTTCTTACGTAAATTCAGAGGCATAGATGCCCTCTCTCATAGCGCTTGTCAAAAAATAAAAAGAATCGCCAATACCGAGGAAATATCTTTGGTGCCAATTTTTTTAATATCTATTGGTTTTCCCGCGCGGCTAGTGTTATGACCATTGACAGTCAGTATGTGTGGTATTTACTTCCTGACTTGGATTGACATTGTTTGCATAGTCGCGTATTCAATACCAGACACTGGTCAACATACACCTAATTCAAAAAACGTTGTCATCGCCAAAGGCGATAGGCAATAGGAGATAGGCGAAAAGCGATAGGATATATGTCATTCCAAGATCCAAGAATAGCTGGAATGACTTGTGTTTCTTATTCTTATTCTCGTCAAGAACATGGACCTTCGTGCTGAGACTGACTCGATATTCTTTGTATTCAACGATCGAAACCATTTCCATGTCGTAATGACCTATCGCCTATCGCCATTGGCGATGACAACGTTTTTTGAATTAGGTGCAATATACACATCTAATAGAACGGATATAGATCTTGTAAATTCTATGACTTGTGTTTTCAGGTATATGGGACGGTCAGGTAATAAGGCCGATTTACACGATTCACGACTGTTGTGCGTAGCATGTTTACCTCGGGTTTTAGCTGCGATTCACAGTCGTAAGCAGAAGAGGATCCACTAGTATCCCAGGATGCCATTGCGAGTGAGATATAACGTTTTTTCTTCATTTAAACAGCTAAACTAATATTTTTGAAATTGAAAACTCAATTGTACTTAAGTAGAGTATGGCACACCTTTTAGCAATATCTATTTCTAAATTCTTCAAGAGATTTAAAAGATACTCGACAAAATACTGCAAGGAGTACTTTTGGAGTAATTTCAGGTTCAGTACAGATCCTACAACTGGGTGCTTTTAATTGTCAAATTAACCGAACATGTCTTTATCAAATGCTAAAGCAACACCTTAGTATTGGTAATATTAATGGTAGAAGTATCATTGCCAAAAAAACTCAAATAAACCGGTTAAAGCCAAAGAAAACAATAATAAGCGTGCACGGGCAGTTGAGACTTGAAAGTCCCTCGGTTGAAAATAGCAAAGTTGCTGGATACTCCTGGAAATTTATACTCCTTGAAATTGTAACGTATTTCGAATGTAACGTTGTTGTAGCTCCAATAACGACAAGGCGTTGGTAACTCATGTGCTTAGCTTCAAAACTTTTAAGGTCATCGTTAAAAATGAAGTCATTAAAATGATGTTTTTTGTCTCTATAAATTGTTAAGAAAAAATTCAGAAACAATATGGTCCTTGAAAATTGTAATTTTGGACCTTGAAAAGTCGTTAAAAGTTCGCTCGAGATGTAGCGCGAACCCTGTGGGATACTAGTTGATCATACTCTGAGTTGTAAGCAAGTTGTACGATCCATTTACAAGAAGCACTTCGTGTCGTCAACATATTGCGCGCGACAGTCGTGAGAAAAAAATCGTACCGTGTGAACCGGCCTTTAGATTTACTAACCCCTAAACCTCCACTATACTTACCTCCAACAGTAGGAAACAAAATATCCAGATGATTACTCTTGACATTTTGGAGCAACGAATGTTGAAAGAGCAGAATCAAGCACTCTAGCGTTCCCTTCAAATCAAGAAAATTCAAAGCAGTTGAACTGAGAAGATGACATTTTTTGCACTGATGTAGGAAACGATTCTGATTGGCTGAGGGTGGTTGCCAATAACAATACCGTCTTCACAGATGGCGTCAAAAGAATTCCTTTTAAGAAAGAAGATGAATTTGCTGAGACGTTTTTCAAGCAATTCAAGGTACGTATGATGTAGTTTTTCTTTCACCAATCAATATCGAAGTTTTTAATGAACAGAGATTCCAGGTTGGTTCTCTCTTGGAGGGTTATACGTTCAACAGTTATTATTCTTCTCCCTAAATTAATTTAGAACGTTAATTAACTTTGCTTTTGTTGTGTGTTTTGTTTTTTAAATTTCGAAATTCTTCAAAGCGTAGCCGATTTCTGCCTACCCAAACATCGTGCCCAATCTTGGAGGGGCACATTAGCACCAGCAATAATGTATTTCATCGAGCATGCGCAGTAAGAAAAAGGCTCTGGGAACGAGATCGGGATACATCGCACAAGTTTTCTTTTAGTTTTTTTTTTTTTTTTTTTTTTTTTTTTTTTTTTTTTTTTATTTTTTTTCTTTTTTATCATTATTATCGTAGTACGCTCTCTCTAACCTCTGGACTGTCGGGTTCGAGTTCTGGCCTCGGCGTCACATGTTGGCAGAGCTTTTTAGGTCTCCATTGAATTGAGAGCATTTCTCCATGGCCACGGATTCACCGCATTTTTCTCGCTCCGAAAAACCTAATACGGTAGATTTCAATTTGATTTGCGAATAAGACGTGCCCTGACTTCGATCAGCCTTAAGGTTGTGTAATTCAATTATCTTGAAATAAAGTTTCATGAGCATTGAGATGAGCCTGTATTGATAGCCGGCAACAAAAGCTTAAGGATAATTGAAGCTTGTTAAATAAGCCTCGGAGGCTGCGCACTCGGGTAGAGAGCCTTGAGAGAAGTTCACGCTCATCGAGGGGCCTTTAGTGAAGTCTAGTAAAATTGCTTATTAGTGTAACTAAAAAATTTACATATAGTAGAGTTTGCAGTTTTCATTAGACATGATGATGTTGTCGACATCACAGCGAAACTTCTTTTACAACTAGTTTTCTTACCAAATTGTATACCTAAAAGTACCTTTATATAGTGAAAAATGTCATGGATATAGAGCATGATGATCTTTCATACGTAGAATTGCTATCACTTAAAGATAGGCAAAAAAGAACCCCGTGTATAAAAGATTTATAAGTGAGTGCATCGTGTGTGACAAGAATTACTAGATAAATACTTGTAGGATACTTCAAGCTAGAGAATCACTTGACAACTAAATTAATCGGTAAGAAATTTAAGAAAGGCTAGAGGACGACACTTGATATGATATTAGGCAAATATTTCGATGTACACTCGAAGTAAAGGCGCTAAGAATCAGTTAATACCGGTTGCTGGTAAAATTGGCCTAATTTTGGCGCTAAAATCGTCGCGTTTTTCAGTGTTTTGGGCAGATTTGATTTACCTACAGTACAGTGTGCTGTAGTTGAAAGTAGGTTGGCGTTAACATAGCTTTCTCTCTCTTTCGCTCTTTTTGTCTGTCTGTCTGTCTTTCTCTCTATATAAGTGATGCCGTAACATTTAGCCCAAAGCAAAAAAAAAAAAAAAAAAAAAAAAAAGAGATTCAAAACAAAAAATGTATAAATAAATTTGACGAATATTGCGTAATGCATACAAACTCTCAATTTCCAACCGCTTCTTGCCAACATGTGTTTTACCGAGTTTCTGTGTATTAGAAAAGATTAAATACCTCAATCGCAATACATCACCGTCAGTTCCAAACAAACCATAAAACTTCCAGGCGAAAACAAAGACACTTTTAACGCCAGTGACTTAATGAAAATAACACTRGTTGAGCTAATGTAGCGCATGGAATATCAGTTTTTCTAAACCCGGAAAAAATTGGATCATTTAGTTATCTTAAGTTTATCCTTGGTCAAATCTTCACATACCTGTTGTAATGACCGCGTACTACTCTTTTTATTCTTCTATAGCAGCAAAATCCTTTCGACTGATGTACGAATCATCGATGGACTCTACATAAAACTTCCGTAATACTGCTTTAAATTACTGTTTACAATTAGCTTCAGCTTCTCAACAAGAAAATCCGATTAACCGAGGTGTTTTTAGCCGTAATTCTAATAAGATAGTCAAACCTAATCAATATTAATCTTGGATTTCAAGTACTATAATATGTCGGTTCTTACAAAACTGTGGGCGGAACAAATAGCTTTAACATTAAGTTCTTGTTAAGGTACTACGGAAATGTTTTCTTTCTTTTCTACATTGTGGTTAAACGTACTGAGCGGATTTGATATTAAGTAGTGGTAGCAATAAGGACGTTATTCCGTGGTTCAGGTGTGATCAACTGACTGGACTAATTTATGAGTTGGTTACCAACGGATGTACAAAAAACGAGCTTAATATTGGCAGCGCCACTTGACCACTTTTCCTGCTGCGATTCTAAACTTGGAGTCGATGATGCGCCTAGGTACTCGTGTGGTTTTTTTTGTTTTGTTTTTATTTAGAGTTCTCCCGTGAAAATGACCTGCTGTTGTCGGCGTTTTTTCCATGGTGTGCAGGCGGTCTTTTTTTCTTTCTTCTTGATCGGTTAATCCAATAATCTTAATCAGTTCAGGAAGAAATGAAGGCTCTGGGTACGAGATTGTAGTTAATTAATTAATTTAGATGGCCTTAAAATTCGTTTTTTCTCTAGCTTTTGTCTTTTTGTTTTTGGTGGACTCGTTTAGCATTGATCAATGTACAAAACAGATAAGTTAGTATGAGCAAAACAACTACATGTAGTACGCTTTTTTGTTTTAGATTAGGCGTTTTCCCAAGTCACTAGTGAAGCAATACCAATAATAATTCAGCTGTCAATCTGTCAAGACCAATTAACAAACTTAAAGAGGGTGGGGTGGGTAGGGAGTGTAGTTGCGAGCAGGTGTATTTAGAGAGGGTGGAGTGGGTAGGGAGTAGATTCGAGCAGGTGTACTACTCTTCCCAGTAGACCGAGGTAATTGTTTTTTACACCACGTGATAAAAACTTGACTGAAATCACGTGGTGTAAAAAACATGTCCTCGTGGTACATTGGTATCACGTGGTCGAATTGAAATATACTTCTGGATAACATAACAGACGCTACGAAGGCGATTAAAAAAATCACAACTGCCTCGGTCTACTGGGAAGAATAGTATTTAGAGAGGGTGGGGTGGGTAGGGAGTAGTATCGAGCAGGTGGTTTTGAAATTTTTAAGGAAACGTACTTATTGGTTAAAGGGGTTTATCAATGTACCGCCGTATAGAACAAATAATTACAAAAAGGTCTATATCATCGAAGCTCGCCGTTCGTCTCGCTTCGATGCAAAGGTACGGCTACCTTTCGAGATGGCGCAGGGAAATGTGAAGGCGACTTTTCAGTGTTCCTCTTTTACTACACGCTTCCATCATCTTTGTTATACTATTCTTCTTCTTATACCCGTAACAACACTGTTTAATATAAACTTCTCTTTTATTGGGTCAATATTTCATCATATGTACAAGGCTTTTTATAATCTAAATATCTTATTCTAACTATTCTATTAAATATATTTTGATCCCAAGAATTGAACTACGTTTCCCATTTCTCCCATTCCTCCCATTCCTCCTATTCACATAATCACACATCCCAATTTCAATTTCTTTTTATCTGATCTCTATAAAACTATACTACAAAAATATACTTCCTTTTCGTAATATTATCCAATAATAATAGTCATTTCAATATCTTAGCATTATCTTAGTATCTTTGAATATGTTTGCAGAAACTTTCAAGCATGCGCAATGAAGGATACGTGGTGCTTCCGCAAGGTACGACCCTGACTTGACAAGTTGAGTTGGCTACAACATCGTTCCAATAGTCCCTTTCACAGTTCCCTGCGCCATCTTGAAAGGTAGTCGTGTCTTTGCATCGACGCGATAGAGTGAATAATTGTCCAAGGTGTTAAAAAAGGTCTCTATCGTTGCCAAGCCACCGTTCATCTCGCTTCGATGCAAAGGCATGGCTACCTTTCAAAATGGCGCAGGGAACTGTGAAGGGGACTATTGGGCCTACTCTCCAAGAAAGATATTAAAAGGTACCTGTACTGCTATCCTGATTTAGGACATTTTGTATGAGTAAGAGGCAGAATATGCTAATGAGCGGTCTTTAATCATCAGGATTGGACTATAAACGATGCATTTCGCTTTACCATCGATTCAAAGAGGAAGCCATTTGATTATTAAACCGCCATCTTGCCACTTTATACAAAATACATATTTAACAATATCCTTCAAAATATCTTATAAAAATGTTATATACATGAATCTAGAGTAATCCCTAGCTATAAAACCAACTCTTATATCTTCAAGATAAGAAGATGAAAGACTTGGTGATTATCGTAGCAAAAAGGACCCGATTTTTTCTGCGGTTTTCCCGTATTCTTCAAACTCGGTAGTTGCAAGCTGCACCCTGAAATTTGGTTTTTCGCTGCCGTCAATCAAAAATAATCAGTTGGTACCTTTTATGTACTTGACTGGCAGCAGTAAAAAAACAATTTCACAACAACCGTTGGAATGTTAGTCTCCCTCGCATCCGTTTTTAGTGTCGGTCGTCACGCAACGCTCCCTCCCCACAACGTTGCGTGACGACCGACACTAAAAACGGATGCGAGGGAGACTATTGGAATGTCTGAGTTCGTAGAACATTGAAAACCACAGTAAGCAGAATACCGCGATAATTTCTTTTCCACATCATAGAGTGGCAATTTTCATAAGGCTGACCTTACAAAAAGACAGGTTTAATCTCTGAGAATTAATGAAATTAGAATAGGAAATCGCACGATCTCGAGTACAATTCGGAATTTATAGGCACGAGTGATGTTTTGAAAGTTTAAAAAATTGGACGAGCTTTAGGCGAGTCTAATTTGAGAACTTTCAAAGCATCAAGAGTATCTATTAATTCCGAATTGAACGAGAAGATTGTGCGTTTTTCTGTTTATAATACACTCAAAAAAATTGAGCAACTTAATTGGGACTCTACAGAGTACAATTTGGGATTTAATTGTACTCCTCTTGTCCAATCAGAAACGAGCTATATTGTAGAGTGTATTATAAAACGTGTTATAATCGATGACACGCGCCCCCTACTAATCTGAGTCGGAAAACTATTCTTAACAACCTTAATTGGCGTTACGTCAAAACAGAGAATTACTTGATAAGTAAATGTCATTACGGACATCAGAGACATTCTCCTTAATAATTCGGGGGATTTTTATTCTAATTAGTTTGATGGAAGATTTCAAGTCATCAAAATCTCCAATTCGTTACATGTCGATATAGTAATGACATGTGACAAGTAATATAGCTGCTAGCAAACTCTCCTTGATTCTTGGCAGCGAGGGAGGGAGACTCTGCTAGCAGAGAAGGGTCTAATGGAGAAATCTAGTCAGCTTGATTGTGATTGGATGTAGAAGGGAATTTGATTGGCTAAATATAAAAAGCCATTTGATTGGTTTAAATGAATGAAATAATTAGGTGTTCATGATGGTTGGTTGAATAGGGTGACTTAATTGCTGGAATGATTTTGATAAGACTTGATTGGTTAAATTGATATCAAGATTACTTCTGAATAGTCGAATAGATGTTCTTCAGGATTGGCTGATTCACTTGTATGGTTGTTTTAACCTACTGCTGTCCTGGTTGGGCAGCGAATTCTCATGGTAATAGTCCAAGAGGTTTCGTTTGTTTTTGAATCGAGGTCCGTAAGGGTCCAACGCGTAACCTTCCTGATGGAGAAAACAGAAAAGAGTTTTGAATTTATCGATCTCAATGAGATTGCAATAATGAACTCGGTGTGGACGTACCAAGTGATGTATGTCTGGATGGATGGAAGGAAGATTGATTGAATGAGTGGGCGAATGAAGCATGTATGTATGACGGATGCATAGAAAATATAATGGAAGGATGGATAAGTGAACGAGTAACTGAATGACTAAAGAAATGAAATAACGAATGAAATGAATGAAGTATGTATACATATATATGAGATGAATGAGACTATGGATGGATGAATGGATGGTTGGACGGACGGACGGAGGGACGGAGGGACGGAGGGAGGGATGGAATGGATGGAATGGATGGATGGATGGATGAATGGATGGATAGGTAGGTGGGTGGATGGATGGATTGAAAAAGATATCAATGAATGAGTGAAGTTGGATGAAAAAAAAGTGTTTTTAAGTCAAAGAATGATTAAATCAAAAGGTGAATCAATCCGAATCATCAAACCCAAGAGATTCTCACCTTATTCCTGAACAAAATAAAATGTTTGACTTTGTCCCCCACGCATACAGATAGCGCTTTCTTGGTTTCTGCACGTGTACTGCTGTGAATCATATACACTCCTTCCTTACCAAGTAACAACCTGGTATTACGAAAAAGAGAAAAACTTAGAATTACAGATACTACAGGTACATACTGCGCTTTCTTCAATATGGTACATGCTACGAGTATTGCACGCATTCTTTAGTATGGTACATAATACGAGTATTGCATGCTTTCTTCAATATGAAACATACTACAAGTATTGCGCGCATTCTTCAATATGATACATACTACAAGCATTGCACGCATTCTTCAATATGATACATACTACAAGTATTGCGCGCATTCTTCAATATGATACATACTACAAGTATTGCGCGCATTCTTCAATATGATACANCATACTACAAGTATTGCGCGCATTCTTCAATATGATACATACTACAAGTATTGCGCGCATTCTTCAATATGATACATACTACAAGTATTGCGCGCTTTCTTCAATATAATACATACTACAAGTATTGCGTGCATTCTTCAATATGATACATACTACAAGTATTGCGCGCATTCTTTAGTATGGTACATAATACGAGTATTGCACGCATTCTTCAATATGATACATACTACAAGTATTGCGCGCATTCTTTAGTATGGTACATAATACGAGTATTGCACGCTTTCTTCAATATGATACATACTACGAGTATTGCGCGCATTCTTCAATATGATACATACTACAAGTATTGCGCGCATTCTTTAGTATGGTACATAATACGAGTATTGCGCGCATTCTTTAGTATGGCTCATACTACGAGTATTGCGCGCATTCTTTAGTATGGCTCATGCTACGAGTATTGCGCGCATTCTTTAGTCTGGTACATAATACGAGTATTGCGCGCATTATTTAGTATGGTACATACTACGAGCATTATGTGCATTCCTTAGTAAGGCACATACTATGAGTATTGCGCATATTCTTTAGTAACAAGCTCGTGTTAACTTACGGGATGGCGTCAGTCTTATCATAATCAGTTCTGTAGGCAGAGTCTGGCAGCAGTTCAGCTAAACACGGTGCAGTCTGTTAAAATTAAAATATACCAATTTTTAATTTTTCATATATCATACCTTTTGTCATCTTTAAAATCTACTTTAAAATTTACCTCGGTGAATCTTTCTTTAAAACTGTTTCCTTCGGGTCGCATCCTGAAATGGAACATGGTAACCTTGGTAACTACATCTAGCATATATGTTATCAGGAGCACAACCCCACACTAGCAATATCATTTTAACTTTTACTGCTTCACAAAATAAAGTTATTCTATGCCATATACCAACGATAGAGAGTAGTAAATGATTAGAATCCAATTCTTTTTTTCACAGAAGAGATTATTTCCTATGATGTGGAATAAGATAGTTATGGAATATCCCACTTGTCACTTGTATATAATAGTTATACAATGCTTTCTCATGGTATACCATGGAATATCCCACTTGTCACTTGTATATAATAGTTATACAATGCTTTCTCATGGTATACCATGGAATATCCCACTTGTCACTTGTATATAATAGTTATACGATGCTTTTTTGAAACTATAATTCACTTAAGGGAACTGAAGAGAACTGTAAAATAGAGTATTGGATGTGATGTTACATTGTGAATTGTACATGTGCATTATTACCTTTCTAACATCGTTCTATTGGGCTGCGGCATGGGTTGATCATCATCATTTGCAATGATAGGTAGGTAATCACTTTCATAATCAAATTCTTCAGATAAAGTGGCTAACAAAGAAATCCAAATAATGATAAGAATCTATAGCTGACTTTAACAATGTTTAGACTTAATAATTATACATTTGCAACAACGCCTGCTGGAAAATAGGGTGACCCTATTCACACGTTAGGGAAGCATTGGTGGCATGCACTGCTATTACACTGCATCTCACCAATGCGACCCGGGTAAAGTCCTGCCAGTGTTGTTGCTTGTTGGTTCTCTCCTGTACTTTGAGGGTTTATTCTCCGGGTTCACTGGTTATTCCTCCTTCCACAAAAATCAACTTCTAAACTCTATTTTGATCTATCTGGTTGCCTTATCAATTGTGTTGCAAAATCTGTTAGGCATTTCTCTGTCCACCCATGAGTGACAAAAGCATTATATTTAGATTGAGCTACCTTGGGAAAATACAACAAGCATCTATCACTAGCACAAGGGTCACCCTAGCTTCATGAAAAAGGAACATATCATTTGAGAAAATGGTTTTAGGTTGGTCTCAAACTCGGAGCCCATCTCCCCTCCGGTTCACTCTAACGGGTGCGACAGTAAACAATGACATTTTGATTTCATAACAGGTGGCACACACAAACAGAGGTTGGGCTACCTGTACATAATTACCTGAAGATACTGGCGAAGGTCCTACTCCAGCTGTAGGCGGTCGTGGTAAGGGTTTAGGTGGTGTAGGCCTTGGTGGCACTTGAGGACGTTCATCTAGGCGAACCTCTGAAGTACAACTTACAGGCGTTCTACTTGGTAATGTTCTTACTCGTGGTGCTGGTTTTGGAGGCGTAGGAGGTAGCGGTTCACCCTCTCGGATTGTGTCTTTTCGTTTTAGAATTGTTGAAACATCAACTGAAGCTTTCCCTCCAGTAATGATAGTAACATTTTTGTGTTCAGTGACAGTCCTCGAGGTAACTGATGCAATACTAGAATTTAAATTTTGAAGAAATTCTGGAGGAGGGGGGCAGTATGTTGGGTCACTCTCAGAAGAATTCCCTGCTAAATCCCTGGCAATCTGCGAGTTTTGTCTCATTTGTTCTCTAATTTGGTTAAAGTTTGGGGGATCTACCAGTGGATAGTCATAATCCTCACCACCACTTGCGATGCTACTGCAACTGCCACCACTGCCACTGCTATTGTAACTCTCTTGGAGTGGTTCGGAGGAGTATCCAGGCCTGCCAACACATTAAAAATAAAAGTGTTATCATCACTGACAAGCTTTTCACCAAAACAACAAGTATAGACTATGGAATCGAAACCAAGGGCAGATCCAGGAATGTAAACTTTAAACAAAAATTTACTTCAATCTTGTGGCAAAAATAAATTCTAAAATAAAGCAATCAATAGTTCAGCTGTGTTTTATGACTACAGACTCATTTGTACAGGCTTTATAGCCTCTCTTAAGAGCAAATCATTTGCAAAAGTCAACTGTAATGTAAAGAAAGTGCAAGTTCTAAAATACCATAGTTTTGAAATCCCATGGACTTTTAATGGTATCTAGTGAATAGCTGACTTATAGACAAGGCAATAAGCCTGTACAAATGAGTCTGTGGTCTTCAAAAACAGTGGTATGCATCGAATGTGAAACTGGTGTATTAAACCTTAGGAATGACAGGGGGTTCTGAACCCCCCAACCCATGCATTATAGACTGCATATTAGTGAATAGAAGAAGAAAAGAAAGGAAGTGAAAGGGAAATTTGAAAGATAATTATACCGAAATGAGAAAAAAAAACCTGTTTTTAAATGCTGACATATTAAAAAAAAAAGACAATCAAAATAATACATATCAAGAATCCAGTAGAAAAACCAAACAAGCATACTTTGTTCCTACGGCTTCGCAATATTCCTTCACATCTTCAGCAATTTTGTCAAGCCATTCCTGCAAAAGTCAGTGTAAGAATTCAATCGATAATTGAACATATATAAGTGCAGACTTAAATAATACACAATTTGTTAAATGTCTTACTGTAAGCTCTTTCTCAGAGTGTGCGGAGAAAAAGTACTTTCTTTTCTCAGGCTGGATGTGTGTCAGCTTAAATGTCCATTGATATTTTGTCTTCTCAGGAGCTGTAGAGAGTCTGTATCAGGAAAAAACATTGTATAAGATGCAACTATCAGATTCACTTAGTCATCACTGCAAAAGTAGTTCAGGGACCTTAAAGAGTTAGAAACTAGGAGGGCTATAATTCTCTTTTCTATTAATATTTGCTAACTTTTCACGTCTCAGTATGCATATACTAGTCTGGTATATTTTCCAAGATGTTATGCARTTCTTGTTGTAGTTTAATAGTAAAACACAGTTTTAAACTTATGCAAGTCTACATATAGTAAGGTTATGATAGAATAATAATTTATAAATAAATTGTTTGTTTCTAAATGATTTCTATTAGTTTGTACCTGTATCCACTCAAAGAGAATTGTCCCTGAGCAGTTTTGTCCATGGAATCTTTGTAGTAATACAAGCAGCCTTTGTGCAAAACCAAGTACCGATCTTGCCCTAAGATATATATAGACCAAAATTAACATGAGGTCTCATTAACATTGTTATTATTATCATCATCATCACCACCACTGTCATCATCACCATTCTCATCACCATATATCATCATCGCCACGACCACCACCACGACCATCACCATCATCATCACCATCATTATCGCTACCACCACCACCACCACCACCACCATCGTCATCTTCATTATTATTATAGGATATCCTTTATCAGTAAAAGGTAGGGGTTCTTGGCTTTTGAACTCTCATCTCACAATTTTCCACAAATCTGACATCTAATAGCCCTCCCCCTTCCCTGCAATGGTCAGCCCCTCTCCCCATCCCCAACATTACTGTACTTGGCATCAGGTGTGAATGTAATTTTTGGGTCTCTCCCTGCTTGTTTCAGGTTTTCTGTGAGGGTTGTCAAGTTTTCCAGCCTCCGTCAAACCTCTTTAGATCAAGTCTGACATATTGGCAACAGCAATCTACACCTGCATAACACTCATAATGACTTACATTTATTAAATCTGTTTTCCTTTCTGACCATACCACAATGGACACGGCAGTTATCCTGAACTAAAACTTGAGCAGGAATCGAGAGAAATGGCTCAGGATACTTTGGTGCTAATACACTCGATACATCTGTCAGAGATCGCCCTCTGTTCTCACTCAGGTTAGAATCCATTCTGTTTCTTGGATGGAAGGGAGGTAAAGAGCTTCCTCTCCATGAACTAGAATTTATGGACATTTCCTGGTAGACCTCTTAACTAAGTCGAATCTGCAAAATTACAAAGTAATTTTAGATATTAAATAAGCCCTTAATTTTGGCTTTTTATTAAGGGCCATTCATTATTTATTGGGGGAGGGGGTTGGGTGAGATGGATGCGAAAATAGGAGAAATCCATTATCCATTAACCCCATTATTTAGTGTGCCCAGACCACGCTTTGCAGGGCCACTAAAAATTCAAAACCCCCCCTTTTCTCAATTTTGCCCCAATTATGATTTTTACAAGATCCAATACTGAGGCTGCAATTTTCTAAAAAAAAATAATAATAAATAGTTTTTTCAGGAAATATTGAAATATTTCTGTTGTTTTGAAAAAGCTTTCACGACTATCTAAAAATAAAAGTTCCTGCAAGAACAAATATGAAATATTTATGTAACATTTTCGTTTTGACTAGAAAAATATTCTAGTGCTACTAATTACTCGTTAAGAACCCAGTGCTTTTTTGTTTTGTTTTTGTTTTTTGTTTTTTTCATTTGAGAATTACCTGGATTATTTTTTCGCGCGTTTCAAAGTAAGCTGACAAAATCTTTTTTTCAAAAACAACAACAAACATTTAAAATAGCTGACAAAATCTGGAATTCCATACAGCTCAAGTTCATTTACATGGCTGTTTCGGTAAGAAAGTGAAGACTATACCTTACCAAACATTTAGTGGAGGCATATGGCAAAGTTTTAGAAGAGTTAATTCTCTATCTAACGTCAACATAAATCATTAAGAAAATAAAGGTTATAAAGGTAATCAAAAATAATGTTCCGTGACAGCCTGGATATCACATTACTAGTACAATCACAAAGTGACATGTATGACGTAAATGATACGAATGAAACGGTGCTGAAACGATTCGAAATTTATAAACCATCAAAAGAAATAATATACGATTATAATTGTTTTAAAGATAATAAATAAGATATGATCAGCCATATAAAACTTCCTTTTGAAACCGTTTCTAAGAATCAAACAAGCCACTTATATCAATAAAACACTTTGTCGAAACAGAAATATGCAGACAGAAATCTATTGTGAAATACTTCCAGCGAGCGGATGTCTTTTCTAGTAATTACAGTTATCTCGACTTATAAGCACAGAATATTAGTATACAGAAGTTATCGTAAATGGATAAGCTTTGATTACCTGCAGGGAAATTTTTTAAGATATCCGTTTCTTGGTATGTGCAAGATAGGGCAGTAAATATGTGTTTTCAAAACTTTGAACCCGCGTCTATCGATTGATCAAGAGCAATCAAGCTTACCTGAAGTTGTCCAAGCTCTACGACATATATTCTTTGAAATCTATCAAAAATAACTATTCCTTTCTCCAGCACCTCGTTATAGCTTTAATCATTGCGTTATACCGCACAATCGCTGAAATTCTCTGTAGGTATTCTCTTCCGTAATTCCTAGAATCCTAAGGACCTTTATCCGAACTTACTCCGAACTTACACCGAAGTAGGTGTGCCGACCAGAAACTAATTCGCGATGACGTCGGGTCACCACACCGGAAATAACAAGTGGCCAAGTGACCATACAAACAAAACAAAGCTTATAAATAATGTTAAATATATTGCTTGGCCTACTGAAGCTCGTAATCCTTAGACAAGCAAAAAACACGAGAACAATTTTTTTAAGAAAAGCGGATACTCTAGTTGTGGTCATGGTATTAATCATGTTTTTCCGTATTTTCCTTTTCAAATTTTTGCATCTATTATTCTTTTATAATTGCTGCTTTATTTATGATCAGATCAGTTTATTTTTATCCATAAAATTAATCATTTATGTTATCAAAAATAAATTAAAAACAAAAACGAAAGACACAATTATGGTGTATAAAGGTTCATTTTATCATAAATATGCTTAAAGGTAATAAAGGTATTTTCCTTTTCAAATTTTTGCATCTATTATTCTTTTATAATTGCTGCTTTATTTATGATCAGATCAGTTTATTTTTATCCATAAAATTAATTATTTATGTTATCAAAAATAAATTAAAAACAAAAACGAAAGACACAAATTAAACATGGTGTATAAAGGTTCATTTTATTATAAATATGCTTAAAGGCATGATGGATGGAGTGCTTTCAGCATTTCCAGTTACCACAATGATGAAATAATTTACTAATATAGCCATTACATCAATTACAGGATGTGCAATGGACAGGTTACAAATTAGAGTCTCATTTAATACAATTTTCTATAAACATATAATATTCTGTGGCATCAGGAACAATACATTTACATATAACTAAATAATATATTATCTAGCTCTGTATTAAGATCCCATAACACCCTTAACTAGAGCACTGGGCAGACCCAGTATTTTTTAAAGAGGTTCAGGGGGTCAGCAGATGATACCGTAATGTGAGACGACAAGGGTTAAGATATTGAATTGATATGAAAAGCATGTTGTGACCTCCTTCCCCACCCTTTCCCTGGATCTGCCATTGTTTTTGACAACTTCTTTATACAACTTCTGGCAGTTATGCAAGTAATAAAAATATATAACATATGTTTGTAGGGCTAGGGTAACACTTATAATCTGTATAAACACTATGTTGACAAACTAACAAGTTTGACATGGGTACCAGTTCCACCAAGCGCAATGAGTTGCGCACCAGTTAACACATCAAGAGCCTGTATTGGTTTCCCTTCATCGTCAATGGAATCAATTACCTAAAAGGTTTAGGAAATTAAGATTAAGCAAATTAAGACATTATGACCAAGAACTAAGAAAGAATGTTTCAAAAAGTATGCACAAACCATGCCTTTAAACTGTATGTTGACTAGTGGCTCATGCCCACTAATAGATAGGGGTGGGTGTGGGTGGGGGAGGGGGAGGGTGTGGTCTCTCGTACGGAAAATAATGCATTGTATCTTAATGTTTGTGAGAAACATTTGATAATATTATAGATGTTAATTTTCAGTTAGAAATGATAAAAATTCCTTATTATTATTATTATTATTATTATTATTATTGTGTAGTTCCAGAAACTATCCATACCCCCCTCCCCCCACAGAGGAATTTTTTAAAGACTCTGTCCCCATTCTTCCTTCCCAAAAAAATTCCAATTTTCTTCCATACAGTCTCTGTAATTTTTTCTTTCTCTAACTTCCCCTACCCCTCGGAAATTTCAAATTCCTCTGGGAGGAGGGGATATGGATAACTTCTGGAACTACATATTCATTAATTATTAAAATTTACTAATAAGAGGAATTAAGTGTAACCTTGCAATGTAGTTAATGGAATACACTGAACTAGAAATACCTGAACCTATTGACATGCACTAATAATACACATTTTCTCTTTCATCAAAAAATTAGAAAAATATGGACCATAAATAATTTACCTTGTAAGGATTTCGTGAAATAATCTTGACATCATTTGTACCACTTCCACCTGCTATCACGACCTCTTTCCACAAGAAACGGCCGACATACAAGAATTCACCATGTTCATGACAAGGAAATGGAATGTCTTCTATCAATTTTCCACTAGTGTAGTCCCAAACCTAAGAAAAAAAATGTAAGAAAACAACAACACGCTAGCCTAATGTGTACTCACAAAGAGTAAGTGAAATCTTTATTTGCCACACCAAATTTCAAATTCCAAACATTCCACATGTACTCTTATGTATGCGACATTTGGCTCCATCTTGACCACATACATGTGGAATGCTTGGGTAATTTTATCATTATAGTAAAGAGCAAGAATAATGAATAACACAATTTACCTGCAGTGCATTTTGATTGAGCCAGGAAGCAGTAAGTATGTCATCCTGGAAAATGTCAATACCATCACCACAGATGTATGGCCCATTTATAGACCGCACCACCTGGTCAACTCGTACATCCCATATCTGAACATCAATAAAATTGTGAGTACCATTAGCAGGCAGGATTTCTTTTAGGATGGTGGTTATAATCTTGGCAAAGACCTTGTTTTAATTTTAGAGTCTGTCCGAGTTAAACCCAAGATATTAAAAGTTGTCAGGTTGGCAAGTACATTTGATACCCAGGGGGGAATACTCCCCTATATTAGCTATACGGGTACGTGTCGCCAAACAGGGTATGGTTTTTAGCGATTCTACTCTGGAACAGGGTATATATAAAATTACGCTCGCTCTGAAACAGGGAACATGAAATCACTCTCTCTCCTCTCTGGAACAGGGTTTTCAGCGATCTTGCTCTGGAACAGGGTATGAATTTCAGCAATTTTTACTCTGGAACAGGGTCAGGGTTCAGAGGGCTCAGCAGCACTTCCCTACCCTAAACGGGCAAAAGTACCCCCCCGGGATTTGATAAACAAAAGAGACATAATTTACCTTTAAACAACGATCCCAACCACCAGTCAGAAACACATTATCATCAAAAGGATGAAACTTTAAACCAAACACTTTTCTTCCATGTCCACTTTCAGGTTTGACCACATCCAAATCTCTATAAGATTCAAGAAATTCTTGACAATAAAATTGAGCCTTCCTTGCTTTTGGACCCTGCTATAGCTAGCCTCCTTAGGATCATCATGCAACATGTCCCTTGTGGGGAGTAAAGTGTTGCATGACAACCATTAGGCTAGGACCCTACTTGCCAAAAATTAAAATTAGACCGATCTTAGGAGTACTGCACAGGGTTTTCATTAAGTTTTGAAATAATAGCTGGATAAGTTCATGAACTGCCAGAGTCCTGGCAACCAAGTGAACATTTTACAATAATAATTATTATTTATAATTGTTATAAAGTACTAAGTTATTAATGTTAGTTTAAGCCGGAGAATTCTGCTCAGTTGCCAGAGCATTTTCCAATCCTCAACCCTTAATGAAAACCCTAACTGAATGTAGACATACTCAAAATTGAATAACTTACACTGCTCTTTCAGTAATCTCTGCACCAGCAAAGAGTATTTTCATCTGCATTGTTTCAGTATCATACACCCTGACATTGTGATCCTGTATACCATATGAAAAAGTACTGAATTACTAACATATAATATATTTAGTAGAACTATGATTGCTAACTAGTGTGCAAATATCTGACAAAAACATCCTTTCCTCTCCTGAAAATGCCATATGGGTTGGAATCTCCAGGTGATAGGAAAGATTTGAGATTTTGCTACTTTTTTAGGAACTTTAGATGCTTAATCATAAAGAGGCAATCTAAGATTTTTTCTCCATAATGCACAAAGGGGAAGACGAAATGGAGGAGAAATAATTGTTTTCCTGTGATGCACATTTGCAATTATGATCTCATAATTAAAATAATTATCACAGTAATATTTTAATAATTTATTATCATCAATGAAATTAGAAACTAAATACAAATTTTGATCCTACTTTTCCAGCAGTTGCAAATATCTTGCCATCATGTGAGAAATCGAGGGCACTAATCTCATTCTGGATCTCATCAACAGTACTTAAAGTGCACCAACCATTAAGATCCCAACATGTTATAGTACCATCAGATGCTAGAAATAAAAGCCAATGATCATGAGATTACATTCAACAACAATATAGCTGGATTCAGCTTGGGCAAAATGTTTTCCCATTTCAGACCATTTGTCTTCCTATTCAGACCATTCCCTAGAGTATCATTACTTAGTTTAACGGTTGTGCATGAGAATTTAGACACACACAGGTATACATACAACACAAACAAAGAATGTTATTCTCAAGAGAATGACTCTCTAATGAGAAAGCATTACACTAAAGCTGAAAAGATCTATTACGAGCAAAATCAGTGAAACATGAACATGGCCTTCCTACAGAAAGTTTAATGATAAGGCACCAGCATAAAGGGAGTGAGAAGGTAGGATATGATTCTGGGTATGGGTGAAAAAGGGTTGTCAAAATGGTTCCTATAACCCATACAAATAATAGAGACCAAATTTGTTAATTATATATAGTCACAGAGGAAATGATCAAAAAGAAAATTCAAAGTCAAAGTTACAATGAAACTAACAAAGAAACCTTTAACTTATTCACCAAGCAAATCAATATTTGAGTTTTGGCATTAAACCATGGCCAAGGATGTATAGTGAAAGAGAGTTATAATTACATGTTGACATAAGCTTGTCATCTTTGTATGGCAGGAATTTAACAGTTGTGACAGGAAGTCCATAAAGTGAGCCATGTTTTAGTGGACGTCTCTTCTTTCCTGATTCCATAGAATACACCTAAAGCAATCATTTTAAAATTAGACTACAAGATTGATGTAGAAAAGGCAACATAGCCTCAAGAAACTACCTCTGTACACACACGTGCATCATTTTGTAAACACAGCATTGTATTTCTTTACCTGCACTGCACCATTACCACACCCAGCTGCCAGAAACTGAGCATTCTGTGACAAGTGTACACTGAACACTCCCATAATGTCTCCAAAATCCAAATCCTTGATGGATGATACCTTTGGTAGACCATGAGCTGCAACTGGTGTTGACCTTTAGACACAAAGAGAGATGCTTAACTGACAAATTAAATCAATCAAAGTACACTTTCATTCTATTTTTTTTCAAAAGTTGTGTCACAAAAAGGATGTTGAAACCTGAAACATGATGGATTTGACGTGACTTGATCAGAAGACTGCACAATGGCCTCAAAACTTCACACTTCTATCAATTACGAATAAAAATAACAATAATTCTATCACTTATGACTACTTGTTAGCTAAATTACCCGTTGTTTTGGCTGTTTTCGATCTCTTTTCCAACTTGCAAAGCGTCTTCCAGTCTTTTTCTTCCCGCCGACATTTTTAATTCAGAGTAAAAGTTATTATATAAACAAACAACGACTGATAAAGACTGTATTGGGCTTGTTTGAATTAAACTGCTTGTTTCAATCTAGAATGAACTGAAAGCTGAAGAATTTAATCCATACAAAGGATTTTATCAAATTTATCAAATTTTTTGGTAAATAAGCTTCAAAAGCGTATTCATAGTTTTTCTTTGAAAATTCACAAAAAACTCGTTGCTTAGTTTTTGGAAAACATCGTCTCGTCCCTCACGGATCACCGCACCACAGGAAACCCAAAACCCCAGTCAGCACTGCCCATCTCACTTCCCAGATGTTTTTACAATGCTCAAGAAAGGGTTCCTTATAGAGAAGCCATGACAGTGACAACCAATCAAATATTCATGTTGCCTGCGAGATTGAAACTTATTTTAAAAGCACGTCCTAGGGGAGGGAATAATTTAATATGATTTGAAACTCCGTTTCAACAACCTAATAAACCTTAGATATATAAGCAATAAAACGATATGGGAACTAAAGTAAATGTACTTTTTCTGTTTTTAATTACCAACTTTCCATTTATATTGCTTTTTAAAGGCTACCCACCGTTCCGCCAACAAAGAAGCTTACAGTGCACCTGGATAGTCGCATAAATTTGAAAAAGAAAAAAACCTGTTTTAGTAATTTTGATGATTGTGGTGCAGTAAAACTACTCATATTAATGTTGGGTATTAACAGGAAGCAAACTTTTAATTGTAAGAAACTCTTTTGTTAATTCAATGGCACCTGGAGAACGGATAGGAATAAAAATAAACGTTGCCATGGTATTCATGAAATGAAAACTTTTTGGCTTCTAAATACTCTGAATTTTGTTTTTATTCATTTGTACTAATGGCTTTCCATGCACTCCAAGGAGTCATTGACTTGCCCTTTGGGTCTTTCCAGCTTCCTTTAAGCCGTCACGCTATCCATGCTAGCTTCACATGAAATTTACAGATTAAAAAAATCCTATAAGTTTACTATAATTAATTTGATGTCACGAGAAAGGAGGGAAATCGGTCCTTAGAAATAGTTGTTTTTAGCCATTTATTTATAACGCCTGATTTATATATGTAAATATTACATGTAAAGACCGAAAATTTCTAAATGGTCGCCTGAGGGGAAAATATTAATTTTTGATTGGTTGCAACAAGCTGCTCATTATGCATCCTAATACGTAGAAGTAAAACACGCCCCCCTCTGCCGTTGTTCAATTTGGGCCTCGTAAAGAGTCATCTTCCTGTGTCAATGCCTACGGAAGTGGGGCTTTGAAGTAAGAGATAGTGTAGTAATCACTCAATTTATCGCTGGACACTAGACATCCATCACCCTGTTTAGTGGTTTTGGGTGATTTCATAGGTACTGTACTTGGTGTTTAAAAGTTTTGTAGATCTCATTTGATCACACCACGAAACGTGCTCTGTCAACACTGTCCGTTTGGTTCGCAAAGGACTTCGGCATGAATATATGTAAAATGGAGTGCTTCTGAAAGAGCTCCACTGTTAGATCTCTGGAACTTTGGACTCCATTTGTGTCCTGTTGAGTAGAAAATATACTACATCGATTAATCTTGTTACTGAGCGTTGATTCTCGAGAGTCTTTGAACTATTATTGGAAGTCTTACAAATGCTGAACATACGTGTGTCCCCTCTCAATATGGCGGACAATAATTCACTTAAGTATTCGAGTGACCAGCACACTTATTGTGATACTCAGGCTCTTAGTTCGTCAAAACCCTCTCCCGATGAAAACTGGCCCAAGAAAATGCTTGCTGCTCTCCAAGATTCGGCTCCTCCCGAACCGATTCGTCTTGCTTGCATGAGTCCTGTTCCCAACAGGCCATATTTCTTTGAAGAAGAGTTCCATGGCAAGATCTCCAGGGAAAAAGTAAATGAGCTCCTCATTGGCGGCTCTGTTGATCCTGCAAATGGAAGATTTCTTGTCCGAGAAAGCCTTTCCGCAATTGGTGATTATAGTTTATCTTTAACTTATGGTGGTAAAGTCGAACACTACCGTTTATTCTATTCAAACGGGAAGTACTCTACAAGTAAAGAAGACAAAGAGAGGAAATACGACAAGCTTGTAGACTTGGTAGTTGATATATTGGAGATGCTTCGATATGTCGAGGAAGCTCAATCGGCGGATAAGCAAGAAAAGAAAGCGGCAGAGAAAACTAAGATTCATTCCTTCAAGCTTTACGACTACAAGCAACCCAAGTGGTGTGACATTTGTGGTGGATTTATGTGGGGACTCAAAGGCCAAGGAATGAGATGTGATGTTTGTGGGATGAATGTGCATCAGAAGTGCAGTAAAGACGCCAAAAGGGAATGCAAGAAGCCAGAACTAAAAGAAAGACCAAAACCTGGAAAGAAAGGAAGCACAGCAGGCTTACCTCAACATAGCATTTCTGCAGAAACCTTCAGCACTCAATGCTATTATCAGGAGGGTTGTGTGCGCTTTCTTAATCATCTCAACATCCCTGTCTCACTATTTGATGTAAGGGCCCTAAACCCATGCTACTGCAGTAACTGTTGTCAAGAAGTTGAAACTCCACTTTACAAACAAGGGGATCCCCCAAGGGAATACTCTATGCCAATGGGATGGTGTCGGTTCCAATTTATGTCTTCTGGGAGAACCTTTACCGAAAATATAACCTCATGGAATATGGCTTTCTTGTCCTTAAGTGCCAATGAAATCACAGATGTGCTTGAAACCATGTTTGGAGCCCAGACAGAGAATTCTGATGAAATGCCCAAACCACTCACAAAATTTACTCCCTCCATTATTTGTGCTGACCTGGACTCTCCAGCCACCAAGTACATTGATCAAGAAACAGATGAACGAAGAGCTGGTCAAGTTGTTCTTCAAGTTTATATCCAGCCCTACTCTTACAGGTTGATGGGTAGAGCTGGCTCTAAAGAAGAGATAGATCCTTATTTCAAGAAAGATACTATTTACTGGGTGACAAATCAGATGTCTTCTGTGGTTCCATTTGCTTTGCTGGTCAAGACTATGGATGCAACTTACCTACAGTTATAAGAATTTTCTAATAATAAAGCCAACTACAGCAGGCTACATTTTWAAAAAAAATGCAACAATGCAATGCAGTGTTTAGTTCAAGTCTGATTATAACGAAAACAAATTTCAGCTTGTGGAACTTTATAGTAAGTTTATGATTTCTTTAGATTAATATTTGATTTTCATTTGATTGAGACATTATATAGTGGAACTGAGCCAAGCACCAGTAAATGCCCATGCTTGTATATGTATAAAAAATGACAGAGATTGTCCAAATGTATTCATTTTTTAACAGTATTGTATATTATGATGAAAAAATTCAGAATCATGCTTTGGAAAATAAATCAATATTTATTTTTTGAATCTCTGATATTCAATGTACATAAAATCTATTACAAATATTAAATTTAGAATCTGAAAGTAAAGAAATCTGCAATATTTGGTATCATTTCTAATAAGGGAGTTTTAACTAACTTATAGAGAAAATATTTTGCAGACAAAAATTTAGTAGATAGATAGATAGATACACTTTATTTACTGAAGGAAAATGTAATTACAGAAAAAACTGTACTCTCCCTTACGGCCCTAAGTAAATGTGAACATTTGGAATAGTTTTATATGTCATAAATAGAGTAGATAGGCAGAAGCTTATGATCAAAATCCATGCAATTATCAATTATGACCTAGGAGGTTTCAAAGTCTTTTTCATGTTTGTACGAATTAATTGCTAAAAGTAAATTGTTTCTGTAATTTATATCTTTGTTATTCAAACATGATTGTGTCCCTGTTAGACTAAAATAGGGAAAATCCAATTATCTTTAATTATTGGTGAAGCTTCATGTTAAAAAAAGGAAATTCTTTTTGCTGATTTTAAGCACAAATAAATTATACCAATCTACTTTATTTATGTTTCTTAAGGCTTTTTTTCCTATTTTAGGAATTACTTTTTAAATAGGGAATTGTCAATAACAATTTACAGGAAATTGCATCATCGGGACAAGTTTTGACTTGGTACATTTTAGAATATTTAGGTTTTAGTTATATGCATTCAATCGAAACCATTTAATATGTGTTTATTTTCAACTAAAATCCAAATAATTCAAATAGGTGAAATATCTTTAACATAGTATCATCTTAATTAAAGGCCACACTTTTTAAAACTTTTAATTATTTTTTTTGTGTACACACTTTTCGCAAATTTCTTGGTCAAAAGGATAGAGTGCAAACAATTAATCCGTGAAACACTAATTACTAAATAGTACAAAATAGTGCTAATTAAACAATAGAAAACAATGGAATTTGCTTGAAATTGTGCTATTTAGTATTACTAAAGTTTCACGGTTATATTGTTTGCACTCTATACAATCAAATCATATGATTGCCTATTGACTCCAGTGTGTTGATAAGTCTTATTCTTCCCCCTAGGATATAAGAACAAAGAATTACACAAAGCTCTCATGTTCATCTTTTGATGATATCAACCATTGATGTGCGATTATTTTAGGTAGTGACAACCTACTCTGTATTAAACCATACTCAGACCATAAGGTTTTTCCTAGCTTATATTTCCATTGTTTTAGATATAAGCTTATAAAAAAAATAAATGGACGTGCGGAATGATTTTTTAGGTGACCGGAAGTGCGTCAATGTAAAGCCCCATCTATAATATTTCCGGTTTATTTGATTCCCGCCAAAACGGGCATGCGTGCGCGCGCGTCTAACATGACGGAACTAACTGTGGAGAAGAAGTAGAGAAGAAGTAGAGAAGAAGGAAAAGAAAAAAGTTAGTGACAAAAAATCGATAAAGAGGCTTCAAAATGAGTGTTTTGAATGACCTTTTCAAACAAATTCTTTATTCCGAAGAGTGTGTTCGCGAAAGATTTTCAAGACTGCGTTCAAGTAAGTTTAAAAAACGTCCAAAACAACTAATAATAAGTGGATGGCGAAAAAAAATAATGAAAACAGAATAAATCCGACTTTCAATCCTAATGAAGTTTTTAATACTTCTTATCATGACTAGTCCGTGGTTAAGCTGCTTTTCTATAGACGGCAAGGAACAGTTCAGTAGCTTTTAACTTTTTTTTAAGATAAGGTTTTTCTGATCTTTTGAACCTTCAGTAAACGAGGACATCCAATCGCTTCAGCTCCAGATAAGGGATGCAGAAGATGAACTAAAATCGTTGCAGGGAAGTGTAGTGTTAAAAAACCAGCGTTTGGCAGAGGAAGAAGAAAAGCTGAAATCGTTACGAATAAAGAAAAACGTCACGGATGAGCAAAGGAAAGAGCTGGAGGAAGGCAACATAAACTTTCAACAAGAAATCGTAAGTAATAACAGGAGTCCTTGAAAAAAGTTTTGAAGGTTGCCTGAGCTTATATCCTCAAATTTTTAGTTTGCGGTCTATTTTTAAATTTTTGCTACAGAAAATGGTAAAAGAGGAGTCAGAAAGCGAAAGGTAATATAAAACATGACGGGCAGGAAAAGTGAAAATTGTTGGTTGTTGATCTTTAATAATAGATTCATTTGTTCAATTCATTCTTTAATTCATTTTAGGAAAAAATTCATATCGGCTGTTCAGACTTTTATTCTGTACCACGACCTTTCTGGTCATGGGAAAATGAAGAGAGACGAGACGTTAAGAAATAAAGTTGCATGCCTTAGAAAAGAAAAGAAAGAAATATGCAAAGGTCAGCAATAAGAAGAACGTGGGAAACAAAGGTTGTCATGCGACAGAAAGTATCCATATTTATCATATGGTGTGTGACTGAAACGACCTGCTGCCATCCCTTCATTTCAAATCTTAAAACAATATTTATTTATATACTTTCTATTATATAGATCTTGAACTTTCGAAAGCACAAGAAAAGCAAATTTTAACACTGAGAGAAGGAAGGGACAAATGTTCACATCTTGTAAATGAACTCAGTAAACAAAACAAGGGTATGTTGATGTGTTTCTAGCTTTTAGTGATGAAGTGATGATACAAGGAATAGGTAAGTGTCAGGGGCAGATCCAGGAATTTTAGAAGGGAGGTGACTATTACAATACAAAGGTTTTTTACCAGGAACTCGGGGAAAAGGGGGGTGATTGTTAGTAACGATTTACCCGATATAAACCCTGGATCCGCCTCTGAGTGTATTGCAAAAATACTCAACATCCAATATTATTACTGCAGTCTAGTCTGGCACTTTTGCAAAGCAGGCGACAAAAATAAACTAGAGCGAATCAACGAAAGAGGACTGAGAGCTGTATACTGCGACTATGAGTCACCCTACGAAGA